TTCCATGTCCTTGGTAAGATCTTCTTGCTCATCCTCTTCTTTTTGACCTCTCCTTTTCCCATACAGACCTGCTTGTCTAAAACAGAATGAACACAAATAAATAGCTGGAAGGGGTACCTACCATGCATTTCAATCCCACCAGCTCTCAGGTTAACAGGGTTGGGTCAGGATGGTATGTTCAAGGTAACAGATGTGGTAAGAGTGGTCTTGATGATTTGTAGATAGCAATATAAATCTGAAGAGAAGTAACAGTCTCGTGCTATACTATGGCGCAATTCCTGCATCCTGGTCAAACTGCAACTCAAAATGTTGCACACTATACAATTTAAATATCTCCTGCATATTCAAAGAGGTAGTTTTCATCAAGTCCATTCTTGAGCAGGGCTACTTTTCACTACTGAAACAGCACCTACATTTCAACCTGGAGATGGCTGTATTTTAGATACGAAGTGTTAAAACACCAGTGTTGATGCCCTTAATATTGGTGAGATTAGACAAGTTAGTAGCCCATTTTCCCCTGCCATTTCCATTTCCAATTAAGGCCCCAAGTTTTGCAGCATATGTTATTGCTCAGTTGTGCAATTAGTAACCTGCTGAGCCAAATCCAAAAAATAGTTTATAAAAATGTCTAGAGGCAACCAGCAAAGAATTTTTTAAAATCTGTCTTAGCATATCAATCTAGTTTCTCCATAAGAACATGCTGGGGGCTTCCAAGCTTTGAACTGGTCCATTTTTGTACAAAATGTTCTTTTGTCATTGAAATGAAAACAGGTCTACCAAAAAGCCACAACCAAAGTTTAAACACAAATATCAACTAAAAATCACTTCCTTTCTTTACTGCTCAAACCCTTGGTTCTTATTTCCTTAAATCACCAGTGCCATGAGACTTTTGCTTAAAAAAGGCCCACCTGTCTAATAAAATTTACGAAGCCCTCACAAATCTGAAACATGAATCATACAATAGCAAAGCTTCTCCTTGGAGGAAAAATGATTTTCAGGCCTTATTTATAGCTCAAAGCAGAACAAAGGGCAAGTCATTTACAGGTCAGCAAGTGCTAGCCTGTGTTAAAAATTTGCATTAAAATGTAAATAGATTTAAGCCTCCAATTACAGTTGCAAACTCCTCAAACTATTAAATAGTTTTAAATCCCATTTCAATTGGTTCAGCTCAAATACATTTACAAATGAAATGTAAAACAATGTAAGCAAGGTTCAAATCTTCAGAGCATCTGCCATAGGTTTGTAGAAATGTAACCAAATCAATGAGGAACAGTGGTCCTTATTAGAAAAAGTTGCACAAATCGTAAGTTTGACTGCTAATGATACCAGCACTGCAATGATGGAGTTCATTAAGCTCAGAGTAATGATTGCACTGGGCTTGCCTTTATTCACCAAGGAGAAAGCCTAGCCTGCAAATGAGGGTATTCAATGTGCAGCATTAAAAATTCATGTAAGCCTATTGCAAAAAGAGAGTTCTGTTAACACAGCAGCTGAAAGTCGGGGAGAAGAAGAGGAAGGTGCTTGCTGAGCAAAGTCAGTCCCCAGTTGTGGACCCCAGACGCTCACCCTTTTTTTCCAGTCTTTTTCCTTGATTCCACTGGAGTGGGAGGAGGGGAAGGCGAATGCTTTCTTTTCCTGGTGCTTGCTGCTGCTTTTCTGTCTCTCCTCTCAGGACTACGCACTGGCTGGTAGAGAAGCCAAGTTGTCAGTCAGTACCAATTACTGCAGTACTGAAATTGAGCAGCCTGTCACCCTCTCCTCATATGTCCTCCAAAAAGCTAAAAGCATTTCACTTTTAAACAGCATTACAGCAACCATTAGGTTATGTTTCAGAGTACCTGCAGTTCTCAGCATGAGAAGTGCCTGACTGTTCCTATTCTCCTGTAACTGCTGGCATGGTTATATGACAGACAAATGGACTCCTGAACCTTTGCGAGGTTTGAATGCCAACTTTCGACTCATCTGATGAGCTATGCCCATTCACAAGGTTAGATTTAACCTAAGCATCTGACAAAGTAGGCTGTTGCTATGAAAGCTCATGCCTCTCTAAATCAGTTAATCTCCAAGTCCCATCTTCCTCCAGATTTAACCCGGAAATGTTAGTTCTGAAAATAGCGTTTTCATGGTCTTCCTCACAACACTGGACAGAGGTAACATTTACAACAGTTTAATCATGATCACACCAGGTTTGAAGGAAGAGCAAACAGAAGAAACTTAAACTGGTGTGACTTGTACCAGTTTAGGCCTGATTTTTTGGGGGGGG